ACACACACACACACACACACACACACACACGGAACAATTACCACAGGAAGTCGTTTGTGTGCACCTGAGAACATCTCCGACACAAACATCAGCATGAAAGAAAGAGCAAATGGTGTGCAAAAAAAAAAGGCAACGGCTGAACTGAGCATTTGGCAGGGTTTAAAAGCTTCTTAGTAAAAGAGATTCAACAGAGGAATTCTACACACAACAGCGCCTTCAAGATAAATCAGTACTCTAGTTTTGGAGAACAGTGATGACCAGCTCCACCTTCTAAATCACAAGTCAAAGCTGCTTGTTTAAACTCAGCATGGCTGACGCTTGGCCTCTCCACTCGAGTGACTATTTTCAACACTTTAGCACCACGTCATTACTTCGACCACGGCTCTGCTGGCAGAGTCAGGGCATTCATTTCCCACAGTTCTTCTCTGCCCTGCACGGCTCGCTGCTGTCAGCTGTTTATCTGTGCCACCAGACAGCTCAGCGTGTCCAGGAAAAGTCATCGGAGACGTCTAAAAGTGTCTCTTTAGCGCTACTTCCCTGCTGCACAATGTGCAGTATGTGTCTGAGCTGCGGTGGGAAACAATATGTGTATGTTTTTAAAGCTTTTAAACGGTTTTTCATCCACATAACTTATAAAGGTGTCATTGAGACAACCAACCTCAGGTACCCAGGAGTTCTTTTGGCACTTGAAATGCTCTAGAATAGCTTTTATAAGAAAACTAGAAATGACGGTTGGATGAAAGATAATAAGCATTTATAAGCAGGAAAATAAACAGCCAAATATGATGTTTCAGCTGTAGATGTTTTTAATGATTGCTGTGTCAGAATTGCCTTTAAATAAGTCTTAAACACTAGATTTGGTTTAAGCAAGTAGGCGTTTATAATTTAATTAATAACTTTAAGGTTATAGATATCATGATCAGTCTGTTTCCATTACTCTGATATTCCTGCTACTCTAACAAATAGCTAAATTATCATTGCAGCGTTAAGTTTATTAGCTGGAGTTGTTGTTCTGTTTGTTTGTCTCGTTCCATTTCTTTCTTTCTTTCCACTCTCCCTCTATCCCCCCTCTCCAAACCAAACAAGCCCTGCACATCTCCGAGCCATTTTCAAGTAATTAAATGCCACATTTTTGTATAAATTTGGCTGGAAATGTGAATGAAAACATAAATATTTTGTCTGTCTCATCACACAGGAGTCGTATCATTTACAGCTAAGAACAAGCCTGTAAAAACTCTCGTTCTTTATCCCACTTTGTCTTCCTGTGTGGACGAAGCAGATGACTGTTCAACATGAGTCTGGTTGTGCCCAAGGTTTCTGTCTCCCTGTAAGAAGGACGTTTTTCCTGTAGCTGTTACTTCGCTAAATGTTGCCAAGCACTGCTCTCATGCTGGATTATTGTTTGTGAATCGTATAAAGAAAAGAGCACAGTCTATACCTGCTCTTTAAGAAAGAGTCCTGAGATTCCATCTTTTATGAATTGGCGCTGTTCAAATCAAAATTGATGGATTAAATGACTGATTGGCTTTTAAACAACTTCCTCCAGGGGGGTTTTGATCATCTTATGAGGCTGCATGAATAAAGAAATCCCCTAATATTTAACAACTTTAACAAATCCAACAAACCACCAGAGACACACAAGCAGAGAGTAAGAGGAAGTTACAGTTAATTATTTCCTTTACAGTACACAGGTAGGACCACCACTGATGATCCATGTGCCTTTTTTTTAATGGAGAACAAGCATGACTGAACTTGGGACTTCTCACAGATGCCCTAGGCTGTCATTACGGTGAATGGTTTACCTCATTCACTCACATAGTAGCAGTGATTGAATGCCTCATGTCAAAGCAGGTATTAGACACACAATATACCTGGATTTATGGTTGTGTACCTGCTGTCTCTTTCCTAATGTAACAGCCACAGGCTTTATTCTGCTCTTAAATGTAAACTGAAATGATGTTTGCCGCTGTTCACAGGTTGTATGTGACTTACAGGACTTTTCCTTGACTGTTGCTAAGGAACCAAATGCCTTCATTGCTTATCTTAATTGCACCCGACATAAAGATATTCAATGGACTATACAGTAAATATGCAAATAAAGAAGTGGAACCTTGCAGTGAAAACAAGAGCCACACTCTGTCGCCACTTGCCCGTGTTTTGACGCCCACCTTTGCACGCATTTCTGCTTCTCTTACCTTGCCTTTCACGCTCTCTTTCTTCTTCTCCTCATGGTGGTAAACGGGCATTTGCAGAAAGTCGTCTTCACAGCAGATGAAGCTCACCGTGCATCCCATCCGAGCAAAGCCAGAGAGCGCGCGCGTCCAAACCCCATTCAAAAGTTCACCGCTCGGTAACCTCCTCTCACGCCTCTCATGCAGAAACTTCTTCTCCTGACTTTATCCCGCTGGGAAAGATCTGCGTAGACAGTCTGACATCACCGAGCATTAAAAAAAGTAAATGTTTTGAATACGTTTCAAGGTAATTCCTCACACTTGTTGTCAGTCACCACGCGCTGAATGAGTGAGGTGACTTCCCACTGCAGACAGATTGAGGAGGACAAACAGGTAGTCTCTCTCTCTCTCTCTCTCTCTCTCTCTCTCTCTTTCTCTCTCTCTCATTCTCTCTCTTTCTCTCATTCTCTCTCTCTCTCTCTCTCTCTCTCTCTCTCTCTACGTTTGTGTTTGCATTTAGCCCTGTGATTGGTGGTTCAGGCTGTCACTCAAGCCTGCAAGGCCTTGATTGTTTAATAGACTTCACATGTGCAAACATCGTAAAGCCCAAACTGAAAAACGCTGTCAACATGTAGAATGTCAATGATTTCCTTAATGGTGAAGATCGTAATTGTAATATATCTGACGTGCCCATTTGGCTTAAACGTCCATGTGACTTGTGACTTGACATGCAACAGGTCCCAGCTGATTCACCGAAACTACTGGACTGAGATCTAATCTTGACTACAGGAATATCTGCAGACTGAGCAGCTGTGGTGAAGTTGTGGCGCTGTATGTTTTTTAAATGCACATATGCTGCCCTCTGCTGGAGGATTTTCAAGGATACTGGCTGTATTCAAAGAATAAATACTATTCTTTAGTTGATGAAACTATAAAAAAAAAAAAAAATGAAATTGGACACAGTTTTTACTTCTTCTAAAGTTGTCAAACTTGTCCAAAAGAGTCATTTTATTAACCACCAGCTGGTTTCCTAAGGAGAGAGAGAGAGAGAGAGAGAGAGAGAGAGAGAGAGAGAGAGAGGGGGAATAACATGCGAAAAGGAGCTACAGGTCAGACTTGAACCCGGGCCTCCACTTACAGGACTATAGGCTCCGTACATGGGGCTGGACCTAAACCCAGGGCCATCTGCACCTCTGTTTCATCATTTTTAATGTGGGATTTTATTATTGTTACCAGGAAAATTTTCAGTGAGCAGAGTGGATAGTTACATGGAATATGGACCTATGCTCACAGGAGGGTATTATCCAGTGTGAAACTGATTATTCTGTAAAACCCAGCAGAAAAGAGGGACTGGTCTAAGTAAGCGGAGTGAAGAAGGATCAATTTCGAATAAACAACAATCCCCACAATCCATCTGTTACTAAGGAAGACTAGCCTCTCCCATTTAACTCTCCATTCATGTTTGTTTACACCGAGCAAAAGGAAGGATTGCAATGTTGATCATAACAATAAATAAGTAAAGCAGTGTAAGTTGAGGCAGTAAATAAAAAGTCACAAGGCTTTATTGTGATTTATTAAGATATGTAATATTGTTCGACATGTTTTGATTTAACCTATAATGAATGGTAACGAGACTGGAGTAATTTCATATATAGTTTCAATGTACACAATGACAACACAAAATGCTTCTTGCATGCAGTTCAGACTTTGACTTTATATGTATTGAGTGATTAAAGTAAAGGAGGAAACAGTAAAGTAAGACAATAAAACATTATTTACTTTTCTTTTACAGGTATGATAAGGTGGGTACTAACCCACTTTGTTGAACCACAAACATTTTATGAAACTTCGATGAGATCCATCATGTTACTCTGTTTTCTTTTTCCTTGTTTCATTAAAAACATGGCGTCATTCATGCATCTGTCAGGGTTTGTCTGTGTGAACGATCCCCACCTGTTATAAAATCTTTTGTACTGCATAACAGAAGTGCACAACGGTTCTTCAGCCTCACTCAAATATAAAACATATATTTTAGAGCTAGTTTCTTTGTATAAGGCCTCACATACTGTATAAAAAAATATATGATTAAAAATATGTTTTGGATCACTTGTTTTTTTGCTGATTGACTGTCTCTCTGTATCCAATGCATAGTATATTTTTTTGTGTGTATAACAAGATTTACATTCTCATGCAGTATTTGCATTCCAACAGATCGAAATCAATAAAATCAGGCTTCATTTCCGCCTCCTCTGTCCACAAAGTGCAGGTTCAGTGGTTGGTCTGGGATCAGGACGGTGCGGCTGAGGCATTTTAACTCTCCCATTGTGGGGTCTGGATGGATTTGAAACGTCCTGATTATCTGGAGAGAAAAGACATTTACAGAGTTATTGTAGTCAGTTTATTACTGAGGTACCTGGCTTACTGCAGCCATATAAAAACACACAGAGCCTCACCAGCCTTTATAACACAGGTATAGTGAGTTAGGAAGTTCTTGTATGTTAATTATGATCATAATAGGCTTTCGCTTACTTTGTCCCTAAAAAGGGCCAACTGAGCAAATTTTTTAGCATTAAAATCATATCATCATTAAGCAGTAATTAGGAGGTATTGAGGTCAAAATCTTATCTAATTGCTTATTAGCTATAAACTACGGTCATGTAGAATAGGGCCAGTATGCTACTAGTTAGCATGTTAATAAGCAAAGAGAGAGCAACTTGGGGTCTTGCCCAAGGACACATCGAAACGTGGCTGCAGGAGCTGGGGATTGAACCCCTGACCTGCCAGTTGAGAGATGACTGACTCTACCACTGATCCAGAGCCTCCTCAATAGATACCTTCTTTTACCTTCTGCGAAAAATTATTTAATTAAAGGTTTTAAAGCGTATTACAATAATGTGTATTTTTAACATTTTTCTTTGTTGTCTTTACAAACGTTGATTTTCACAGCTATAAAGCATGCAATGCTTAGCAGGGCAACAAGAGTGAGTGCTGTCAGATGGTGCCCCCTTAGGGAGGTTTCCTACTGTCGTTGCAGAATTTGCAGATTTAGGGTCACTGTTTTGGTTTAGGTTTGTGAGCCCTCAAGGGGCTCCCTACTGTACTGCATAGAGTTTTCCCTCTTGTCACTTACCCTAAACAGAACCAAGTACATCTCGAGCTCAGCAATCCGGCGGCCGACACAGCCTCTCACACCAAAGCCAAACGGGATGGAGCCAAAAGGGTTTGGCCTCTCTCGGCCGTCACGGAGCCACCTCTCTGGTTTGAATGTGTACGGCTCCGGGAATGTGTCAGCGTCATGGCTGATGGCATAGTTACACAGCGTGAAAGCGGTCTGAAAAAGACAACAGTCCAGAGATAAAAAAAACTGACACCCTGATGTTCTGTATTTGGTCTTTTTTTATGTATTTTCTCTGACTTTGGGGATATATGAACTGTATATTTAGCAGCAGTTGTAGTTATTCAAGCTATAATGAACAGAATAAACATCAATAATTTAGTAAAAAGCCTGTACCACTACAGATTGAGGAGCTTTCCAACAACAATACAATAAACTTACATTATAAAGGCATGAGAAAAATACAGAAAAAGAGTTTACAATTAGACTCACATTTTTTGGAAATTGATATCCACCAATAGTAACACTATTTTCCGTAATGATCCTTGCATTCAGGGGTACCACAGGGTACATTCTGTAAAACAAAAATGACTAATATCATGTAATTTTCTTTAGGCTGGTTGAATCTGAAAAAATGTCCAAACTCTGTGATGCAGAAAAAAATAGAGCCTGAAATCTTGACCACAACTCCAGAATCACGATTGTACACCACAGTGGAAGCTGAACAGCAGCCTTACCTCAGTGCTTCTTTGATGACAGATTTTAAATACGGCATCTTGGTGACCTCCTCGGCAGTGGGGTGCTGATCTGTGGGTACCAGTGTGCATACTTCTTCATGAAGTTTGTCCTGGATATCTTGGTGCTTGGACAGCAGGTGCAGCGTCCATGTGAGGGTGTTGGAGGTCTTAAAGACAAAGAAATGTCATTAAACAGACAGAGCGGCTCTGAATTTGAGTATCAGCTCTGATCTGGAGGTAATCATTTATAAGAAGGTAGAGATTAGGAAGAGATTGCATTTACCGTGTCCACTCCAGCAAGCAGAAGCTCTGCGATGCTGCCGTACACGTCGTTAGTGCTCATCTTGGTGTTTGAGAAGAGGTATGTTAAATATTCACCCTCCACTTCCTGTTTTTTGTCCACACGCTGCTGAATGACCTCCAGCTTCTTGTCGATCAGCTCTTTAGCTAAAATATGAGCAGAAATAGAGAATTTTAGCTAAGTATTTAAAACAGAAATTATCCTCTGACAAATAAAATACATCTTGTGAGTTTTTGGGTACAATAAGAGGTTAATAGTTTTACTTATTGGGTTAATACACTTTTTCAGTTTAGTGTGTAAAACATACAACAGTCTCATGTGAGAAGTTACACCAAACAGCATATTTGATACAGGGAAACAGAGAAGGCAAAAGCTTACATATACAACTCAAGAAATAAACATGATTATTCATTCATTTGTCTTACACCTATATAAACCAAAGTTTAAAAAAAAATGGCTTATGTAGAGGCAATCTAACCATCTAATTGCTGTAGCGTCACATTATCTGTACTAAATGATGTCCTTTTTATCTCATAAAACTCTGAACATGAAATCCAAAAAATGGCCAACCTGTCCAACAGCTAAGACATGATATTTATTCTTGAAACATAATAGATCAATGGAAAAACAGAAAATACATAATGATTAGTTAATTAACAAAATATGCATTTTGAAGAAATCTATCAACTTAAGCATCCTACTGATACCACAGCAGACACTGTGAGCTTGATGCTGGTTTGAAGCTCACCTGGACAGCCTGTTGACTTCCACAAACAAAAATGCTAATGGTGATTTATAGTTTCAATGTATAAAAGCATAATTGTTGAGACTTGTTTTCTGTGGTCCAATACTTTTAGAAATCTTAGCTGAAGGATTTAAGGCTCCATCTGTAACATGATCCACTCAGTTTTTGCCGCCATTGTTTTGGTGAAATTTCTCACAACACCATAGGTAACTGAAATATGCAACAGTGTAAGCTCTGAATATATTTAGCACATAAGCATAGATCAGGCCAAAGCAGCCAGCCACTAAGCTGTGTTTACACAACAACTCACCAAAGCTGAAGATGCCGTCCCAGCCTGCTATGTAGCGCCCCCAGAAGGGCAGGAAAGTGCGGCTCCATTTGGGCGACATAGCCACAGCCATGCTGTACGAGAACATCTGGGCTATGGCGTTGATGAAGTCTTGAGTGCCTGCAGGGACTTTCTTCTCAAGGCATCCAAGCCTCGTCTCAAACAGTATGGAGGCAATACCTGATTGGGAAAGGTGACGATTCAAGATAAGGAGTATAAATGACGAAGAATCTTTTAGAAAAAGGGCTGCAATGCCCTGGTTGTAGTTGAACTTCAATAAGACAGCATCAAAAATGTATAGCAACACAAGGCAAATAACTTGAATTTATTTTACAATAAGTGAACATTCACAATGCACTGGACTCAGCACTCAGCTGTTCTCGATCGAGCAACAACTTAACTTTTCTCTGTTTTCTTATTTACCCTCTAGTGAGAAGCGATACAGCTCATTGGCCACATCAGGCACCAGATCTCCTGTGGGGCTGCTCTGACGCAGGTAGTTCATCCTCTTGATGAAGTCTGTAACAACCTCGCTGATAACACCACCGTACTGTGCAGAGTCCTTTGGATGCAGCATACGCTTGTTCAGCATCGCCCTCAGGTTGTACCACCTCTCTCCTTCCCTGAGTGGGACAAAAAAAGTGGGGAAAGTTAAAGCAGACTTCGTTCATGTTCAGGTATCTTTACTGTACCTGTAGGTAGATTTGATTTGCAGCCAAGCCGAGAGAGTGACATCTGTTGCTACATTTTGCAGAGATTTGGGTTTTGAGGAGCAGCAGCTTTCTAAGGGATCTTAATGGGAAGGGGTCATTGGGAGTAACGAACCAGAGCATCATTTAACTAGAACAGAAGTCATTTAGAACTGCATATCTTTAAATCCATCAGGGGGAAAGTTGTCGCTCTGGCCTATAAAAAAAAAGATTTTATTGCTGCTAAATAACAAAACAGACGTTGCCAGCAGGATCTAAACTGAAACTGAATTTGGCCTGGTGAGGACATATAAGATACTACAGTCATCAGACTTCAACCTTTCAAGGGCAAGACATGATAGGAAGAGCTTCAGCCCAAAATACAGAGAGCAAATTAAGTGTCCAATCCTATAGAAAGGACACGATGGCTCGTTGATATGCCTTATAAAAGGATGCTGATCACTCTGTCTCTCTGTGCAACTCTGGGTCACTCTGGTCTCTCTCAGGTTCATCTCATCTAACATGTAAAAGTAAAATATGCAAAGTGTCCAGTGAGTCCAACGAGATAAAGCTGTGGAGGAGGCCGACAGAAGTGGGGAAAGAATGTTGCAAAACCAGGTTTAGAAACACGCTGACAAAGTGTTACGAGAAGGTCACCGACAATCCAGCCCTCTCACATGAAAGCACTTTAGACAGGAAAGCCCTTATATAAGTATTACAAACTCCAACGTGTGGTATTTCTATCCCATGTTTAGACATGGGGAAGAAACAGCTGGGAGATGAGGATTGTTGTGAACGTTAAACAATCTGTGGAGGTCTTACGTTGTGAAAGGTCCGTAACCGAGTCCTTTCATGTCGCGGTACTCGGTCCACAGAGACATGTCCCCTCGGGAAGGGAACTTCTCGTCGTTCCTTAAAATTTCTTCCAGCAGCTGAGGAGTGTTCACAGACACTGCCTTCATTCCGTCTCTGAAGATGTGTCCGTATCGCTGCTTGTCTTGGATCTGACAGGAAAAAGAAGAGTTAAGTTACAAGTGAATACAACAACAACTTGATCTTCTGCTCGATAGCTGGCTGTAAATTGTTTAAGTCAGCAAAGTCTCACTGTCCATCCCTTTAATAAAACGCATTTGCTGTTGAGTAATAAGTCTCATGTAAAGCAGATGATTAGATATCTCAAAGTGAGCGGGTATAAGGGGTGTTCACCCAGCAGAAAGTGGGAAAACAAGCCTCTCCTCTGGGGGAGTAAGATGTTGTTGTTGTAACTATGGGAACAAAGGTAACACAACCAGCCTGACGTTTTCTATTATGCATTGCAAACACTTATATCACAGCTTCAGAAGGTCAACTCTGCAAACAATGAGAAGTTATATCAGGGATTTCTGAAATGCATCGCAAAGAAAGCATGCAGCATTTTTAGATGCAGATTAGATCAGCTGATATTGTTGTTCCTGTCTGACCTCAGAGCGTACCTGTAACTCGTGCAGACGGTTGTAAAATCCCTGAAACACCACCCTGTAGAGCATCTCCATGACACTGACATGTGGAAGGTCCTCTACTGTCCGAGGCTTGTCCTGAAAGTTAGAGAGGGACCTCGGTCCAGACGAGGTGCTTCCCCTGCAGCAGACCTGGGGCCTGCAGATAGGATTTGACAACAACCAGCTGCCATTCCTCCATATCAGATTCCGGGACAGCCGTGCAGCCATGAGGAGAGCTGAGCAGCAACTGCGCAAGGATCCTGTTATACCCAGGAGAGTAGCCGAGCAGGAAGGAGCCACGTCACACAGCGAAAGTTAACCCTCTCAACACACAATTCAGGGACAAAACCAGAGGAGAAAAAGCCACAAAGAAACATTCCAACCATACCAAGAAATCTCCTTTTCAGTGCAGTGGCTAAAATGTATGTAATACATAACTTTACAGCCGGTCATTTCTAAGCTTTAAAATACTTACACAATAAGCTTCAGGTCTTTGGACTCTGAGAAATCTTCAGAGCAGCTTTCATCAGCAATGCATCTGTTTAGCAAAGCATCTAGGTGTTTTTTAACTAGTGTCCTATTTCTGTTCCCCTTGTATTTTTTTATGTGGATTTTTATTGTTGATTTGATGCATTTACTACAACACCATGAAGAACTTTGAAAGGTGCTGTGTAGATAAACTTTGTCTACTAGGATGTTGAGCAACGGTGTTATTTCATGTACAGAAATGTACTTCATCATGTTAAAATTAAGATTTCCTGATGTAAAAAGAGACTATAAAGAACACAGAAAATGTACTTCCACGATGATAAATACATCTGCTCGTATGTCTGATCATTTGAGGATGAGCCCAAGATAGACAATCAGCTACAAATCAGTCAAATAAAATAAGCTTGCTGCATTTTCAAATTGTAACATACTTCCTCTTACTATTAGAGCAAGAGTTTCTAAACTTTTCGGCCCGTGACCCCCAATATAAGTCTCTAGTGATTGAGGACCAACACTGTCCATGGAGGTGGTTAAAACATTAACTGTTACACACAGCCTGGCTGACTATGTTGCTAACATTATTTTAGAAATTTATTGTAAGAAATGCTAAAAACAGAATAAAACGATCTCTTGAACTACATTTTTTGTATATATTTTCAGAATTATGGGTAAAATAAAAAGTAAATAAATATATAATTTTAATTTGTATATGTTTTTGGAAGGAATCTCACGATTGCCCTCTCAGTGTTTTGCAACCCCCCAGGGGGTCCCGACCCCATCTTTGGGAACCACTCTATTAGATGAGTCTTATCAATGTACATTGTTTTTTTTTTTAAAGATATTTTTGCCTTTATATAGAACAGCTGTTGAGAGGCAGGAAATGCTGTGAGGAGAGAGTGGGGGACGACATGAAGCAATGGGCCGAGGTCATATTCGAACCCAGGGCCGCTGTGATGAGGACTATAGCCTCTGTACATGGGACCCGCAACCTAACCACCAGACTATCGGCGCCCAAGTGTACATTCTTATAAAGCATCTTTAACATCTTCTGTGTGATCTTGTAGCCTGATACATTCTAAAAAGTGTATTTCAGCAGTAGTTGATGTAAAGGGTTGAAAAATATGTTTTGTTTTAAGCTAAAAAAACAAAGGTTATTAAAAGGTTAAAAATGGATCACAAGATTCATTGGTTCAAAGCCATTGGGACATTGTAAAAGTTAATTATAGTGAAAATACAGTTCATTGCTAAATGAACAAGTTAAATGAGTTAAAAAGAGACCCCAATATATTTTTTTATGTTTATGTATCTCAAATAGCTATTTAAAGCCAGATTCCAGTGCACTGAGCGAAGTACAATGTTATTACAATACCAAACCAGGTCGCTTGTGAGGAGCATTATACCCCAAAGAGGCAAAATCTGCAGAATAAATCCTGCAGCCGAGCTGAACCGAGCTGAACACAGCTAAACTTTGTTGCTTCTTTGTATTTACATACAGGTGGGTTTAATGTCTTAAAAACCACATGCATAAACACCAGTATAATGGTTAATAGTGTTAGGAATTTTGTCAGTGAAGTATAAGGTTTGAAACCGAGTATTTTTACAGTTATGTATATGTGAAAAGTAGAAATGTGAAGATGTACACTAGCATGCTAGGCTAGCGCACCTGTTGCTAATGCAACTTTACGGAGCACGTGGAAATGCTGAGGTACATTAAAGGGGTTTGTTTTGTTTTGATAATGATTTAGAAATCATACGGAGAGTTAATGTGAACATTTCATGGTCTAATTTATGTGTGTATGTTTCTGGTTTGACTCAAGAAGAGAAGATGTATGTTTAATATGTAAAGGAAACAGAGAATAAATCCTGCAGCCGAGCTGAACACAGCTATACTTTGTTGCTTCTTTGTATTTACATACAGACAGACCACTGCAGGGTAAAGATACACTCCTCCCTGGCACCCCTAGGCCAGGTCGGGGGAGCAACAATTTTGGGGGCTCGTCCTGGATTAGCTCCCGATCAACTCTGCTAAATGAGTTCCTGATCAACTCTGCTAAATGAGTTCCTGATCAACTCTGCTAAAAGCAATGTGCTCTACAAGTTGGCAACTTCGATCAAGGATGAGGTAAAGGAAGATTTTCCAGGGGAAGATGCAACAGAGGTTGAACTCTATGACTTCATCGTGGACTTTTTGAAAAGTGACGAGTTGGCAAGTCAAGAGGACGATGGCATGAGCCGCCTGTTAATCTTCAATGATCTCATCACTGAACTGCAACTGCCTCCAGAGGAGCATCTTGAGTTAGCGGCAGAGACTGGACAAGTAGGGACACCTTCAGTAGTTAGTGTGACTGCAGACAAATCACCAGGTGTAGCCGGTAAAGTAACTGATGTGATAAAAGTGTCAGACATCACTTCTTTACTGACTCGTAGAGAGTTCAGAATACACAGTGGACAGATTTCCGACTCAGACTCAGATGTAAGCTATAGCTTACTGTGTAGGCAGATTGATGAAGGGCTAGCTGAGAATTTCACAGAGACAGAAGTCATTCGCACTGTCTTTAAGATCATAAAGCCTGGTAACTTTAAAGATATGTTGATGACTAAAGACAGCTTAACTGTAGCTGAGCTTAAGCAGTTCCTTAGAGCACACTTAAGAGACAAGAGTAGTGCAGATTTATTTCAGGAGCTTAGCAATGCAAAACAGCAGGACAGAGAAAGTCCACAGCAGTTTATGTATAGGTTAATGGGCTTGAAACAGAGAGTACTATTAACTTCCCAGCAAGGTAGCTCAGAGTTTAAGTACGACAGTAAACTTGTCCATGGAGTGTTTCTTCACTCACTGTATCAAGGAATAGGTGAGAAATATGCATATGTTAGGCGAGACCTCAAACCTCTCATTACTAACACAAGTGTCACTGATGATTTTATCTTGGAGATAATGACAAGGGCAGTTAGAGAAGAGGTTGAGAGACAGACACGCTTAGGTCAGACACACAAAACTAAACCCGTCTCAGTCAATGCCACACAGAAACAAGAGAAGCAACATGCAGTACAACCTCAAGCTGAAGCTCAAGCCAGTGTTCTTCAAACACAAACTGAAGTCCAGGCAAACCGCACAGCTATCCATGAACTAACAGCACATGTCTCTGCTTTAGCAAAAACTATAGAGAGAGCTTTCACCCCAGCGACCAGTACACCAGCAATGTCCCAGATCAACTCAGCGACAACTGTGGAGTCATCCAAGTCAACCACAAGGGGGAGATGCAAGCCGTGCATAGCTCAAGGAAATGCAAACTGCTACCACTGTTTTAAGTGTGGTAAGGAAGGACACAGAGCTGTTGGTTGCCTGTCAAAGCCTAAGACGGCAGGAAACATGATGAGGTCACTGGGGAAGGACCACCAGTGACCGAACAACGACCAGCGTCCCCTGTCACAGTATCCAGCCATCAATCCACATCTCAAGTTAATGTCCAGATACCAGTTAAAAACAGAGTAAGACAAGGTAATCGTGTAGCAAAGCTGATAGGCAAAAGATGTATACTTACCTGTTATCTCAATGATGTGCAGACAAACATGTTACTCGATAGTGGAGCTCAGGTTTCTATACTCGGAAAATCTTGGCTAGAAAAAACTTACCAGATGTTAAAATCCAGTCACTACAAGAGCTACTGCCAGATGATCCACTCAGAATCACAGCAGTTAATGGGACTGATGTCCCTTATGAGGGATGGGCTGAACTACTAGTCGAAATCAAAAGTATCAAACATGGTAAGGTTAGCATTAACGTACCCATGTTAGTGAGTCAAAGCTGTGTGAGCTGTCCATTGCTAGGTTTTAATGTGATCGAGGAAATCATCCTAGAGAGCCTTGAGAAGCCAGGAAGTTTCAGTCTAAGTGACTTACTTGCAGAGGCATTAAAGCTACACAGAGAGACAGCTAAGACTATCGTTTCTCTAATCAGTGAAGCTCCAGTCCAAGAGAAACCTAGACATGACTCAGTTAAACTAGGTAAGAGAGGACTCAAAATTTCAAGCAGCCAAATATGTGAAGTGAATTGTCGCGTTAGGTCATTACCACAGGGAGGGACGATGTTATTTGAACCAACATTAGACAGTGCTCTGCCTGAGGGGCTAGAACTTTTTCCTGCCTTAGTTGATGTGCCCCCTGGTGGCTCAAAAAATGTTAAAATACCAGTCTCAAACCCGACCAAACATGACATCTTCCTACCACCAAGAACAGTTTTAGGCTGTATAGAAGAAATCATAGACAGCAAGCCAGTATGTTTCATTCAACCTTCAGAGCAGCCAGCAGAGTCAAAATGTGACACACACCTATGTACTGCACAGGTTAACTCAAACAACATCAGTGAGGGAACAAACAGCTCAGCCAAATCACACACACAGGAAAAGTGGCATTCTCCAGTCAATCTAGAGCATCAATCAACAGCAGCAGGACATTGTGCGCCAGATGCTTTACGAGGAGTCTGACGTCTTTGCCAGAGGGGAAGGAGACATAGGTTGTATACCTAATCTACAGCTAAAGATTAAGGTGGCAGACAACAACCCTGTTCAAAAGTGTTATAACTCCATACCCAAGCCACTGTACAAAGAGGTGAAAGACTATGTGCAGAACCTCCTAGACAGAGGGTGGATCCATAAATCTGTGTCTTCCTACTCCTCCCCAGTAGTCTGTGTCCGCAAAAAGGATCAGAGTCTCAGGCTGTGTGTAGACTTCAGAGGGCTGAACCAAAAGACTGTTCCAGATCATCATCCTTTGCCACGAATCTAAGACCTGCCTGACAGTCTGGGGGGCAACACATGGTTCTCCATACTCGATCAAGGCAGTGCATACCACCAAGGTTTTGTGAGTGAGGAGTCAAGACACCTCACAGCCTTCAGCACACCGTGGGGGTTGTACGAATGGATACGAATTCCATTCGGCTTGACAAAT